GCCAGTGGTGGTCACCAGTGGTATCTCTGACCAAGGGCTCAGGGCCCCTTTTTCTCACAGGGCTAGGGCCCTGGGTGGCTGTGCCCTCTTAATCTGGGTTGAGAGTTTCCCAAGGGACGCCTACCCCGAGGTGGCCCGGACTCCTGTCCCGTGTGGAACGTGGCCTCTGACCTGCTCCTGAGCAGGTGCCGTCTCCTGTTTGCTTGGCTCTTCCCTGCTTGCCCCCCTGGCTCTCCAGGTGGCTGGGTGTGTGGCAGGGATGCGACCCCGATTGTGTGCCTGTGGAGGGCAGGTGGGGCGGCCTGTTCCAGTGAGGAAGGCTTTCGGAGTTTGGGGCCTTGGTGCAAACCTGACAGGGAGGGGAGAGGGAGGAAGGGCCCTCCAGATGTGTTGAGTTGGGAGTGGTCTGTGCTCCCTCATGGGGTGGGCAGCGTTGGTTCTGGTTTGAGAACTGTGTGGCTCCAGGGCAGTTGGACTTGAGGCTGAGGCTGGGGGAGTGGGAGGGAGGTCTGGACTGGAGCTGGAGTTTGAGAATAGCATATGTTTATTAGGTGTTTGACGTGGGTTGGATCTTGTCTTGGGAGCCAGGATCACAGAGGCTGGCTCTCTGCCTGGAGAAGAGCAGGCAGCGCAGTGGTTTCACGTTTGTGTGCGGCCTTAACGCAGTGTTAGCACAAGATGCTCCCAGGGTTGCCTGAGGAGTCAGGGCTTCGAAGCAGAGGCGTTTGAGCTGAGCCTTGAAGGATGACCAGGAGTCCTCTGGATGGTCAGCTGATGGTGGCGGGAGCAGAGCCCGTCTGCGCGTGCTGCCACCTGGCGTGCTCTGAGCAGCGTCCTGGTGCCAGCTGTGGTTTCAAGCACTTCCCATAGAGAAACCGACTCGCTTGCCCCAGCAGGTCCCAGAGGGAGGACAGCGGATGTTGGTTCATTTCTAGGAGGGCTGGTCCCACGGCCTGAGGAGCAGCCTCGTTTGTGACACAGGCAGTAGCTGCAGGGTCTGTGCTGTGGCCAGTGCAGTTCACGGGCTCTGGGTGGGTGACACCTGAGTGTGCAGGGAGGGGCGGTGGGGCTGGAGTGGAGGTGTGAGGCCCGTTAGGTGGCTGTGGCTCCAGGGGGAACGCAGTGGACTAGAGTTTGTGGCAGGGTGGCAGGAGGAGACGGGGTGCTGTCTTGAGTGTGCAGGCCACTCAGGGTTAGTGTGAGGGCCAGGCAGGGTGGTTGGAGGCGGCTGAGGGGCGGGTGGGCTGAAGTCTTGGGAAGGGAGAGAGCACACAGAATCCTGCTGCAGGAGCTGTCGGCCTCTGGGCAAGTGCAGGGCTCCTAGATGGGGCGGCTCTGGGGTTTGTCACCGAAAGAATGTCAGAAGGTACCTGGGTAGACAGGAGCATTTCCTGGGTGGGCAGAGGGAGAGAGGCCTATGGAGTCTGCCTGCTGGGACGGAGTAAGTCTGTCCTCAGTGCAGGCTGGGCCTGCCAGCACTCTGGGCAGAGTCTGATCTGGGACCCAGGGGCTGGGTTGTGCCAGAGGCCAGAGGCAGCCCAGGATTGGAACCTGCTTTCCAACAGGCCCAGATCCAGAGGAAAGATCTGTTTCTGAGACTGGAGTAGGACAGAGAGAGACTT